GGGTGGGCAGATGGATCCGGGGTTGGACGGAAGGGGGATGAGAGGAATGAGGGGGGGACTTCCTGTTTGTTTGCGGGGAGCGCGCCCCGTTTGGAGGGCTGAGTATGGCTTTGCACCTGACAACAGCCAGGTTTTAAACATGGCCAAGCGGCGCTGCACTTGCATCGACTGCAGCCCGCTGGCCGCTGCGAGGAGTCAAAACCCTTGACCCCCAAATTGCACAGGCTAGAATGCTCCACACGTCAACCCCTTCTGCAGCCCTGCCCCGACCCCGCGCTCACGTCAAAGGCAGCGAAGTCCTCGGCGACGCCGCGCCAGATGGAGATGATGTTGCTAAGCTCGGTGTTGCTGAAGGACTCGGGGACGCCATCGATGTCGTAGGGGGGAGTCACGATGGGATCGAGGCCGTAGTCCTCGTTCCAGCCGGTGCCGGTGGTGATGTGGCCGGTGAAGTCCAGCACAATGCGGCGGGGCGCGCCGGGGCGGCTGTGCAGCTTGAATGCGAGGGACAGGTCGGTGGGGTCGGCGTTGGTGGGGGGGATGGGGCCGACGTCGCCGGGGGCGGCCTGGGGTCCAGGCTCGGGGCCCTCGGGGGCGGCCAGGCCCTTGCAGGCGTAGAAGAGGCGCTTGGAGGCGAGACCAAAGCCAAGGTCGGCGCTCTTGGAGAGCAGGGACAGGAGCTGGGGCACTGTGGTGCGGGCCTTCGCGGCCACCCTGTCAATCTCGGTGCCGATCGCAGTGATGGCGCTCCTGCGCGGGGAGGGAGTCGAGAGGGCGGCGATAAGCAACTGAGCAGCGAGGCGCTCGGGTGCACTTTTGAGCATGTCTGCTGGTCCTGGTCATTGAGGGCTGCTGGCAGCTGGCAGGTCTGCGTGGGGCGATCGCTGGGTGAGCACAACCCTAGTGCATCCGTTCATAAGAATCCCAAGCGGTAGCATCATAAGTGCCTATCACGTGTGACTCACTCGCCAAATGCCACTTTCGGGAGGCCGGCACCAGAGACGCAGCCAGCCGACACCATCAGCAGCAGCATGGCCGCCATCAGAGACGACGCCATCTTGAGTTTTTGCAGTCTGATAAGGTGGGGTTGAACCTTGCGTTTGCCGGCCCGTAACAACGGTCGAGCGCTTATGTCGCTTGCGTGAGCGATGCAGGTGATGCCACGCCACGAGTGATGAGTGCCTTATGCAGCAAATTCTTGTTTGGAACGGCAGCAAGAGTGGCTATTTATGGCCCCCGCCCCTGTGTCCCTCCACCTTCACCAACAGTCGCATTGGGTACTACAGTGCACAATATGATTACGCCCGGTTGTCGCGGCCAGTCCTGTGCGATGTATGGATCCAAAGCATGTTTAATACCTGGGTTAATCTTGATTGCACTCCCTCATCATGAAACACCCAGGCGAGCGCAATCAGCCCGTAATCTCAACAGTCCAGTTGGCTCTGCCCCTCGCGCCATCCGCTGCAACTAGACATTGCAGAGCCCCCCAAAGATGGGTACACCTAGGAGCATTACAATGGTGCCAAAAAATTGTAGTAAGTTCTGGACCCGGCCCTCCCCTGACTAGGCCTCCTGCGCTTGGTCATCCTGGTCGGTGAGAAGATCGGTCCTATGAGTCAAAGGCTTTGTCAGGTGCCAGAATCCCCCGTCCCGCGCCGTCATGTCATGTCATGATCTACCCAGCACAATCCCACCCGCCATATCATGATACCGAATGCCATGATCGCTTTCTCTTGCCGTGCTCGCCGCTCTGCGCACGCGCAGCACGTGCTTGGACAGACACACCCGCTGCTGGGCAGCGCCGGCCCTTGCTTGCCCAAGGCGGCGCGGGCGGCCCCGCCCCCTCCCCACTCCCCCAAAGAATCTCCGCCGAGAAGTCACACCCCAAGGCGCTTGCATGACGCTGCACTGACACCATGGCTGCCGCACACCCAGCTCAGCCAAAGCGCACGTGGCCTTGCGCGTTGGAGCGTCACGCTGACTCGCATGTCGCACCTGATGCGTCACCCGCCGCATGGCGGCAGTGTAGGTTGTCGTGGGCGGTCAGCGCTGCAGTGTGCAGCGCAGGCGGCGGCTGCAGCCGCCGGGCCGGACAGAGCGGCTTGGGAAAACGGTTGAAAGGGCTGAGGGTGTGACAGGTGCAGACTGTTGTGTGGAACTTTGGTGTCTGCAGCAACCCCTGTGGCTGGCTGTCGCTTATCTGCTGCCTCAGAGCAGCGTCCCTCAAAGCACTGATAAGAGCGCCGACGGCCAGCCGCACAGACCCGAACGCTGTGCTTGCGTGTCCACAATTTTCCTATAACACCACAGGGCCGAAAAACACTTGATCGAAAGAGCGAGCAGCTGCTTTCTTGTTGTTTAAGGGGGGACGAGCATGGGCGGGACGGTCAAGGTACGGGCGCAGTACCGCCTGCATGGTGCAGTGCGGGGGCGCCGCAGGTACACGCCCCCGGCCCGCCTTGCCGCAGGGACCAGCAGGAAATAAATGGGCGTGCTCACGCCCCGGCCGGCCACTCCTAGAGGCGAGCTTCGACTTTCCCGGGCTGCACATGTAGCCGCGGACCCGCGCCGCCGCGCGCCCGCCCTGCCGTCGGGCCCACGGCCGCGCCCCCGGTTGCTGCGGAGGCGTGCGCGCTGGGCGCTAGCCGTCGCTGCGTCGCAGCCGTGGCTGGCGCGGCCTAGCACCTGCGGGCCCTCTGAAAGTGAGGCAGTCTGCTGCACAGCTGCTGCGGCTCAGGGGCTGCTGCAGCTGGCCGCGAAATCGACCCTAAGCGCTGTTTGTGGGTGCACACACACACACACACACACACACACACACACACACACACACACACACACACACACACACACACACAAACACACACACACACACACACACCACA